CCTAAGATCCAGCCCCAGCAGTTTGACCAATACATTTGAAATATGCAAAAGAGCTTAAGTCAAGCACATTATAAGTGGCAGTGGTTGCTGTCACCACAAGCCCACCTCAACAATTAATGGGCTGGGCTGGGCTGCCAGAAAGCAAACTATGATTTATTGTTCTCTTCAGATTAGTAAAAGCAATGCTATCCAGTGTGAATTCCAGTATTAATCCACATGGGAAAGAACTGATGTTTCCAAATGGCCATGAGAGTAGGTTACACTTCTGAAACCACATTTCTTTTCACCTTAATTCTCAGCCACTCAGAAATCTCTGCTTTTACCCAAGTTCTCTGGATAATACTCAAAACCTGCAGCATGGGACATTTTGTACTCTTAACTCAAATCCACTTAAAACTGATCAAGATAGAGCATCAGCAGAAAGCCACGTTGGGTCAGGGATATCCCCAAGTCTCTCATTTTACAGATGGGAAAACTGAGGCTACAGGGCAAAGCAGCTGGCCCAAGTTCCTCAACAAAGGCAGCAACACTGCTGGGGGCAAAACTGGGATCTCCTAGGTATAGCAATATATATACATTAATGATGTATCAGTATATGTAATACAGATGATATACACTTCGGTATGTATTGGAGAAAAGTGGCTTTTTAAAATCTGAAGACACACAGAGGAATATTTTAATGATGCCTTTGATGAGCATAATTTTCCAGCCTTAAGTCATGGCACAAGACACGACACATGCAGAAAGTGTGGCGCTCAGTAGAGGGGAGCTGGCTGGGAAGGGGGCCGTCCGTTCCCACTGCCCAGGGGCACAGAGACCCACTAAGGGAGCAGCTAGGGTCTGTGGGCAGGGTCCCATCTCAGCCCGGCCTGAGCCTGCTCAGCACTCAGCCTTGGTCCTGGTTTTAACTTCTCACACATTCTGGTGCATTTTCACAGCAGCCAGTGTGGCGACTTTAAATGTAAATAAGACCAGGTGACTCTTCTGCTTAAAACCCACCACTGACTTCCTTCCTCTGATCCCGAGACTACACGCCTGCCCTCCTCTCCTCGTTCATTTCATACAACTTCCTCTCTCACTCCAGCTTCCTTCTGATCCTGGAACACTGGGGTGTTCCTGCCCACGAGGCCACTCCCTTGCAAGTTCCGCAGCTGGTCCCCCAGATTCTCCAATAGCTCGTCTTCCTTGTCGTTCTCTGGCCACCCCATCTAAAACGGCCCTCCCAGCCTCTATCGCACCAACCATTATATTTTCTTCACTGCTTGTACCCCTCTCGGAATTTGCCTTGTTTATTAATTTGCATGCTTGGCACTGAATGTTCCCGAAGCTAGACTGTGAATTCCAAGAGCACAGGGGTCTGTGCCGTCTCGGTCACTCCTTTATCCTCAAGGCCTAGAAAGTGCCTGGCACACGGTTACTGGTTACAAAATAAACGAGCACACTACGTTTGAAAGGTATCAAAAAGTACTTGAGCTGGAAGAAACATTTCTCTAATAGCAAGATCCCAGCCCCGGGTGAGCACCGAGGAGGAGGGAAGGCTATGCCTCTTGGGCACAGAGTCTATAAGGGACTTCAGTTCACTGAGCAGAGAATCAACTCAACGGTGAAACCTTTACACGGTGCTCACTGATGCTCTCAAATGCCCAGCTGAGATGTCGTGTTCTCATTTCCAAGCCACCCTCTTGGTTTCTGTTCGACTTCAGAATCAAGGCTAAGCCTATGGGTGAGCATTCAAAGGTGCTTCAGTAACTTCAAATGAGCTGTGTGTGTGTGTCTGTGTTTGTGGTCTTGACTTATTAAATCATCGGTATAGAAGTGCTCTAAAGCTCGAGATTCTAGACACGTGTGCACGTACAGCATTTCCAATTGCATTTGACGTGGTGAAGAGCAATTCTGTGGCTCTTCAGAATTCCTGAGAGCCATCCAATGGCTCATGAGCTCTGTGGACAACAGAGAATGTGGGTCAATTAAGGCTCCTTGAAAACGTGGCCCTGGATCTCATACATACAGGAGGCCCAGCTGTGGGCCCACGGGTCCCTGACCATCCTCATGCCCTGTGGTCTAACAGCCACAGTAAGTGGCAATTTACAGATGAAAGAACCTAGATGAGCTCGAAAATGGCACAGGGTAGAAATCCACTCCCACGTGCACACACCACAGATACAGCAGAGAAAGGCCCGGCACTGGCTGCTGCGCTGTCACCTGCTGTAACAAGATTGATCTGTAGGGAAGTTAAAGATAATGCGATCCAGAGGAAAGAACTTCGGTTTCCTCTGAGAACGTCCGATGTTGTCAACTTGCAAGCCTGCTTCCCTCTTCTGCCCGCCCCGGTGCACGGCAGCCCAAACATTCAGGGACTCCTCTGGGCAAAGAGGCCTCAGTCACTCACCGCCAGAAGTACATATTTACAAAGCAGCGTCCCCAGGCTGCCCGTGAGTCCCTGGGCAAGCCGAAGCCAGCAGGGCCTGGGTGCCCACAGCGTGGTCAGTCCAGAGCCCCTCAGAGCTGTCCTGTGTGGATGGGCTGCAGAACCGACCCTGTGGCTTCCGTTCATCTGAAGCCACACAGCTTTCTACTGTTTATTTCTAGCACAATTCATGGCCCCTCTGTTTCAAGTTAACGGCACAATTCTGGAACAAGAGTTTAACCCCAGAAGATGCTGTGCAGTCGTGTTTCAGATTCTGTCTGTAAGACGCAACACCTTTGTTTTGGTCTGATGTTACTGCCACTGGCACATTTTTTTTTTTTAACATCTTTATTGGAGTATAATTGCTTTACAGTGTTGTGTTAGTTTCTGCTGTATAACAAAGTGAATCAGCTATACGCGTATGTATATCCCCATATCCCCTCCCTCTTGCGTCTCCCACCCACCCTCCTTATCCCACCCGTCTAGGTCGCAAAGCACCGAGCTGATCTCCCTGTGCTATGCGGCTGCTTCCCACTAGCTATCTATTTTACATTTGGTAGTGTATATATGTCAGTGTCACTCTCTCACTTCGTCCCAGCTTCCCCTTCCCCCTCCCCGTGTCCTCAAGTCCCTTCTCTACATCTGCACTGGCACATTTTTACTGTCACACTTTACTGAGCATTCATTTCACAGGCAGAATGGTCAGAAGCAAAGGTAAGGAGCGGGTACCAGCTGGCGGTTCTTTGCCATCATTTTAGAGAACGTCTCTCTCCGTACAAAATGGTCCTGCAAGGCCAGAGCCATGGAAATAATTCACAAAAGCAAGTTCAGTTCTCCCCATCTGAAATCCTAGTAATATCTTACGAGGGAGCTGCTGCCCGCCATCTCACAGGACCACGGGTAGCTAGCAGCTTCCATCTCTGGAAGATGCTATTAAGTCTCGATAGTCTGTGATTTGCAGGTGATTATAACTTTTGCTCTGCATATCATTTTTCCTGACAGGCAAATCCCATCAATCGAATGGCATGACTGATTAAAAAGGAGGCAAACTTGACATAAGCAGTCTGAGAAGCCGTTTTTCATACCGACTACAACAACCGTGAACGCTCACGGTTGTGGGTAGAAAAGCCAGATTTGATACCAACCTTTTCTCTCCCCCTCCTCCAGGGGCCTCGGCACACGTGCTCCAGCAAGACTTTCCTAACTCGAGCCTTTTACGTCTCAAAAGGAGAAATGCAATTCAGTGTTGGGGGTAGGGGCGCTTGCTCTCTAGTTCATTGAAAAAAATTGTCCTCCCAGAGCATCCCACTGAACTCCCAATCTGTCAAGGGAGAAAACGCACTGCAGCCAGTGCCCTGACAGCAGCACGTGCGTTACACCCACAGTCACGGCACCTTCTCAATTTTGCTCATGGCTTCGTCTCTAGCCAAATGGAACTTATTACTTACGGCTTGTCGGGATTTATGAATTATTTATAAAAGTAGGTCTATGACTCCAGACTCTTAAAAGACAACACAAGTCCCCTCATTGTTACCCACAACTGTGCTTCTATCAGAGAGAGCAGACCGACTTTCTCCATAACACGCTGCATGTTTAGGATGAAACAATCGTTGTGAAAATATCCAGCCTGTTAAGATTTCTTTGGAAGCTATCTATGGGATGCCTGGATGTATTTTTAAACCGGTCTCTTTTATTCTAAGCCAGCCTGGGATTCAAGAAAGATGTGGCGGACGTGGGCGACAAACGTATTTCCCAACTTGAATATAAACAGGCAGGTCCTGCCACTTTCTCCTGGTGGTTTCAGGCTGCCATAAAGAAAGGGAAAGAGGCAGTTGCCCCTGAATGTGTATCTAGCAGGTTCAATAAGACCATGCCTGTGAGTCTCCCAGAGCACAGTGGCTGTGTATCCTGAGTGGGGACTAAAACACGCACTGGAAGACACAGTCTAGGTTACACTTTCCCTCTCCAGCTCCCCCACACATGCGAACGTGGCTGGCAAAACACATAAGACGGTGCACACCCTCGCCAGGCTCTTCTCAGTCACTGGACCAACTGGAGGGGTTGTGAGGCGTCCCTGGGTTGAAGAGCAGAAAGCGACCAGCCAGCCATGGTCTGGGCCACACCTCCAGGTCAGCGACACTTTTGCTTGACAAAGAAAGCCCCAGGTGGAGGTGGCCTATGGGGCCCTGACCAAGCTGCAGCTGGCCTTGATGCAGGAGCCCCGAGGGACAGGGGCCTCCACCCAATCCCCACCAGAGACACGAGCTCCCACCACTCTCACAAGCCCACAGCAGCCCTGCCCTTGGAGAGGCACCCGGCCATGAGCCCCTCCCCAGTGGCTCTGCCCCAACTGTCCAGCCCCGACCCTTCCCCCAAGCAAGGTCCAGAGGAAGAAGCAGAGGCTGGACAGTGGAGGCCCGGGAATGCTGATGGCACTTCAGGCCACCTCAGACTATCATCTTCACGGTACCTCCTAAAGCTCCCATGATACGTCCACAGAAGAATGTAAAGCCCCATAACCCTCTGCACACAGATGATACTCTCCCAAAAGAGCACAACCAATGGAAAAGCAGGCAGGAGACAGTGGGCTTACCTTGCTGGAAAACATCTGCCAGGAGGAAGGAAAAACAGGCGGAGAGAGGGAGAGAGAAGCGAGAAAAATAAAGTTAATAATAATGTTGAAAATGACAGTGATACTCATCATAGCTAACATACACTGACTATGCTAAACACTCCTGGTACAATATTTCCTCTACTCAGAGGCAGTGGTTAAGAGGTTGGGCTCTGGAAGGGAGCTGCCTGGGTTTAAATTCTGGCTGCATGCTTACTAACTCTGTGGCTTACAGTTCCCTAAACCACAAATAGATTTGTACTGGAAAGATTAAACAAATGATGTCCCACGTTTTAAAGGTTTAGATCGGTGCCCGGGACGTAGTAAACATACAAAAGTTGCCAGTTATTATTCATGTTAATATTATTATTTTCACAAGAATGCTATCAAGCAAGTTGTAATATTATCCTCACTTTATAGATAGGGAAACTGAGTTTCTGGAACAAATCCAAGGTCACAGGGGAATAAGCTCAGGATTGAACTCAGGTCCGTCTGATTCCCAAAACCATCATCTTACCCCCTACTAAGCTGCCTGGCTGGTTTATAAATAACAACAAAAGCAACAAAGGCACACAACAGGATAAACAGAGGAAGGGCCTATGAATAAAGTTCCATATTTAAATCATAATAAGCACATATGTATGAATTCTCCAAATTTTAACTCACAACTAATTAACACTATGTCTTCATATTAAATCCTAGGTCAAAATCTGTTAAAAGGTGAAAAAACAGTAATTCATCTTTTTCAATAAATATTTGAGAAGCTACCATATGCCAAGCACTAGGTCTGGCACCAGGAAACATGCATATTAGCGAAAAGCATAAACGAATAAGCAGTGGCCAACACCTGCCGAGGGGAACCGCTAGCATGACTTACAACACTTCACATTTGTTCTGCCTGTTTCTGAGCTTTATATAAATGGACTGAATTTGTTCTGTCTGCCTTCTTTGCTCCACAGTGATTATGGGAGTCATCCATGCTGTAGCGTGCAGTAGGTCATTCATGCTCACTGCTGGACAGTATTCCACCACATGATTTTATCATAATTTATTTCTCCATCCTAACGTGGACGGATATTTGGATTGTTTGCAGTGTTGAGCAATTAGGAATTGTGATACTTTGTCCGTATCTTTTGGTGAACATATGTGCATATGCAAGGTACTTTTTGACATCAGGCTCACCCTGCTTCTACTGACTTTCAATCACCCCAAAAGTATTCTTATCTCCTCCTACTTTCTCATCCAGTAACTTAAAGATGGAAGATAGCACTGGCAAGAATACAGACAGCACCACCCAGATGTGAGCCAGTTCCTGCCCTGCTCATGGGGTTGTAAATAGGCATAAAACTTCTACAAGATAGTTTGACAGTATGTATGGCAATGTTAAATATGCGTCCTTACCCTAACAATACCACTGCTAGGAATTTCATTTAATGAAATACCTAAAGGTCTTCAAGTACCTAAAGTCTACAAAGATGCTCATTACAGCATTGTGTATAATGGACAAACAACACAGATTGCCTATTTGTTTGTCTACAGAGAATCAAACCAAAAATAATACATTCCATACAATGGATTATGGTTCAACCACTGAAAATGGTTAAAGTTTTTTATTATTTTTGAGTGAAGAAATCAGACATGGAACATGTATCCTGAACCCATGTATGTGCATGTATGAACATGCCTCACATTCATAATCTGAATTAAAACTCATCTGTATCTTAAAAACTAAATGAGAATTATATCATCAACATCTAAATTTGCTGTCAGTCTTCAGCTAAAACATCAGTTCCTACAAGGTCACAAAGAGCCAAGGGGTCACAAATGGTGTGGATGAAACATGTACCTGGTGGGTTAAACAGACTGCAAGGAAAGAACACAAGTGAGAGCAGTTTTCATTCCACTGGTGCACACGTGACCCCCGTGAGGGGTATCATTCACGTGCAATACACATGCTCCCCAGGGCATACCCAGGCCGATGGCTGTGGGACAGATAAGACAGATGCAGGCTCACAACTCCCAGGGAGGGAAGGACAGAGGGGCTAGTCTGTCTCAACACCCATTTGGTCCAACTCCCTCATTTCATGGACGAGGAAACTGAGTCCCAGAGAAGTAAGAGATTTTTTCCCCAGGTCACACATGGCGTCTGTTAAAGGCTGAGCCGGGACTACATGAGATTCATTTAACCTTAATGAAGCACAAAAGCTCATCCATATTATTAGCAAAGTACAAATTAGAGATTTATCATTCTCCTCTAATGAATACAGACAAAAATTTCCAACATTGAAAACATCATTTAAATGAGATTAGTCTTTCAAATACGGATCTAGTCTTGACGTCCATCCAGAAACCTCAACCTCCTCTCCATGGCTTTTGACAGGGTGCACTTCCTTTGAAACTCAGTACTGATCTGAGTCACTGGAAAGTATCAGTGGTCAGGGAGGGAAGAAATTCAGGCAGGGATTCAGGAATAAGACACCTTATTCCTTCCAATTCCACTGCATATATCATGGTTTAGCAGACAAATCTGCATAGAGTACTATTCATATCTTCTATCCCAGCAAACTCTCGTGATTTTCATATAAGCTCTTTTAGATTTTTTAAAAACCCCTTTTCAGCTTCACTTACATTTTGCACCTTTTTATTCAAATGTAAACGTTAATAAACACTAGTATAAATATTACAACAATTTGGCACGAGTTATCTTGTAATTTACACTCTAAATTTATGTCTTTTGTAGTCTATGGCATAAATCATTCCATTCTCAGCATTATTTAGCTCTTTGCTCTGAATTATAACTGCTTGGGTACCTTCTTTAAAATTTCACTTTTCCACACTGAAACAGCCATCCAGGCTCACGCTCAAATGATTCATGGACAGAAGACTATTACCCCGCCCCGAACTGTAGACCTCAGAGGACATTAGCCATAGAAATACTCTCTATTTCTAAGCCATAGAAATATCTTCTATTCTGGTGTACACAGCCACGACCCCCAGCTCCCAACCCACAGGGACTAGTCACTTACAAAAATCAAATGGCGTCAAATTTGAGCGCAATCATCTCCTTCCGGTCTAACCAACCACTAAGAATTATTTGGGAGTCAATCACTTATAATCTCTGAACTTGAACTGACCTGGAGATACTTAATACCACGGTGTTGGGAAGGTTAAGTTAGATGATTCACACAAACGTTTCCCCGCCCCCCCATCCAGGGCTAAGGAGAATCACTCTGAGAGTGAGAATCAGCAACGTCTTCTCTGCTCTCCCAGAAATCAGAAATCACAGAAGTAAGGAGTTGGGAGTTGCCAGCGCCCAGCCAAGCCTCAGTCAGGTTGAGTCCAAAGGACACCAGGGACACTTGTGCGGAGGAAATGAACTCCTTCAGACAAAGCTCCACTCACACTCACTTCCCAAGGGAGAAAACCTCAACCCCAATCATTCAAATGAACAAAGAAAGCCTGTTCTCCAGCCCCACACGCACCCCCTGGAGCCATTCTGCTCCTATATATAGATGAAAGGGCATCTTCATCCCCATCAGATGTGGGGAGAAGAAAATAAGAAAGGAAGAACTCAGATTTGCCTTTCTTAGCCTCAATGTCCAATTTCTACTGTTAGGAACGAGCATCAAGGATATTTGCCCACCACCTCCAGAGCTACTGAGAGCTTCACACCCCAGAGATCATTAATGCACTGAGTCCTCCAGAGACAGGAGCCATAAAGAGACTAGATTATTTATTATTATTAATAAGTTATGGCAATTAGGCTGGGTGATTCCTAAATGTTGCTGATTAAAAACTTTCTTGAGTGCTACTCATCCACATGGCTAGTGTTTACCTCTATTAAAAATGATTTAACCACACTCTGGGTGAACCCATCTCTTGTGCCTGGGTTAATAATTAGCAATGCACAGAGCCACGTGGGTTAAGTGGGTTGGCTCTTCTTTATTTATCTATTGCTTTGTTTTATGAGGAGAACTGGATGGCAGTCTTATTGCCCATTCAGTCTGCTAGGAATAATTTACTATTTCAATCCACAGCTCGTAACTGTGGTTAGAGAAACCCTCACTATTATTACAATATCACATCTAGCCCACACCCCACAGCATTAAAGATATGCCAAACAGTGAAAGCATGCATGACTTCCATAAGACTGGGGGAGGTAGAGTTACTAGTCCTCAAACAATGTAATCGTACTACTCTCTCAATTTTGCTTCCTTTTCTAGGTTAAATTATACATGAGGGGAGTTTAGTTTCTTGAAAATGCATGCACTTAACTCCCATCTAAGAAGTCTCACCTGGGGAGATAGCTGTCTTGCGAGTCCTCCTGTGGTTTGAGCTACAGAAAGAAAATTCTCTTTCAAGTACAAGTGCCGTTACAGTAAAGCACTGTAAATGTCACTGGGACCCAACTAACCAGGGACAAGAGAAAGGATGTAGGGAGCAGCTGGAATGAACGCTGCTTCCTTGAATGGGGTCGAGTTCACCATTAACCAAAGTCAATTCAAGATCAGTTGAGCTGCCCCTCACCAAATTTCCAAAACCGACAAGCTCTGTGCATGGCTATGAGGATTTCTAGAATTCAGTCTGTATACTTCTGCACATCTCTGTAAATCAAGTGAATTATTTCTTTTCAAGGTTGAAAAGTGGGGCCCACCAAAGCCTCCCCAGTACTCCAGAGTAGTTCTGCTTCAAATTGAGGAAGTCTAGGTCCAAAAATGGCAGGTGGGCTTCCCAGGGAGGGCAGGGTTCATTCCTTCTCTCCCAAACACAGTCCAGTGCCGGGTCACCACATGATTGTGGCCGCTGGATCCCAGGACCTGAGATTGGGTCCCAGCCCCTCACCAGGTGGAAACTCGAGGTGAAACTTCTTATAGCCTATGTTCTCATCTATAAAAATGGGATGATACAGATAAGCTCTTACCCTGCCACAGGAATATCATGAGGATCAAGTTAGATCATTTAATCAGTGTGAAGCACATGGACGTTGGGGTCACATA